GTGGATGAGACTCCCACCCAGGGGAGATGGCACGGATGAGACTCCCGCCCAGGGGAGATGGGGTGGAGGAGACTCCCACCCAGGGGAGATGGCACGGATGAGACTCCCGCCCAGGGGAGATGGAGTGGAGGAGACTCCCACCCAGGGGAGATGGCACGGATGAGACTCCCGCCCAGGGGAGATGGGGTGGAGGAGACTCCCACCCAGGGGAGATGGCACGGATGAGACTCCCGCCCAGGGGAGATGGGGTGGAGGAGACTCCCGCCCAGGGGAGATGGGGTGGAGGAGACTCCCAAGTGGAAAGGTTTACATTGCCATGTGGTCTTCTTGCTGGGGCTCCTTCCAGGACCGTGGATGCGAGAATCTGAAGTTTGGGTGACATTAGCTTCAAGGCTGATTTGCCTCTGATGGTAGCAATAACATTTGGAAGACAAATTAATATTTAATTTAGAATTAAATGTATGCTAACAGAAAGGAAAACATTAACAGAAGAGTTGAAAGATAAAGTGGAGAAATCTCCCAGAAATTAGAAAAAAAAGATCAAGAAACAGAAAATAAAAAATTAATATGAGGGAATTTAAAAATCAGCCATGATGGTGCTCAGAGTGAGAGTTCCTGAAATACAGGATAGAAGAACAGGGAAGATCAACTTACTGAAGAAGTAATAGCAGGTGACTTCCCATATTGAAAGGTCATTAGGGAGAGCTCAGAAAATCAAGGTATCTCCCAGTACAGCCCTGCAGCTGCAGGCAGAGAGACGATTCTCAAAGCCCCCGGAGAAGGACAGAGCGGTCATGTGGCGTTTCGGAGTAGACCAGCTCTGCCGGTTCATCAGTGGCACCAGAAGTTAGAAGACAAGGCAGCGATGCCGCAGAATCCCCGGCAGGTCACTGCCTCCCACTCTGTTCAGCCAAAATATAGCCCAGCACAAACACTGAATTTTTAAAATATCAGACAGGAATAGATTTAGAAATTTCATAACACAAGCAGAGTTTTAAAGGATAAGTGAAATAATTCTCCTTTACCATGGCAGAAAATCTGTAAATACTGTTTAAAATCACTAATCAAGAAATAAAGGTATAAACGTGGGATTTTCATGTGACCCCCCAGATGCAACAGTAGGACTTCAACGTGGCCGAGAGGGTGAGGGGACCAGGGGGCTTCTGGCACTGTCTGATTGGCTCAACCATTTGCATGCATGATTGGATTAACTGCTTTGCTTTGGAGGCCGGAGAGGAAGTGAATGGAAAGTGGATAGAAGTCATGGAGGGCGAAGCGTTTTCTGTGTACTGTAGGAGGTTCTTTATACATATGAAGCTCTTTATTCCTCCCCATGACTGCAAGGGAGAAATATTGTTATTCCATTTGAGAGATGAGGAAACCGAGGCTCCAGGAATTCAAAGACCTTGCTCGGAGTCCCGCAGCTGGGGACTCTGTCGTCTTCCACCACATAGCTCTGAGTATTGTCCGCTAAGAGAAGGGAGCTTCTGTTGGGACCTATAATATATGGAGAAGACCGTGGGCTTTTGACAGAGGAAAAACAAGAATATTAAGGTGAGGTTAAGAGTCATCAGAGGTCAAGAATTGAAAAGACAGGAGAGAGCAGGAATAATTGAGCTGAGTCCCGAGTCTTAGAAAGTTGGATTGCGTGTGCGTGAGGGGTTGTCCTGGGAAGGAATAAGGTAAGGGCGGTGAAGTTGTTATCGAGCTGGAACTTAGGGAGGAGGGGAACTAAAGTGGTGATAGTGGTTTCTCCAGAAGCAGGAGGCTAGTTATGCTGCGAACACAAGAGTGAGGAGAGCCTTGGCTCTTCACCTCGGAGGGGAGGAAGTTGGAACATGACTGGAGTGGTTAGGAAAGAGCGGGGTTACCAGACTTAGCAACTAAAAACACAGCTCTCCCAGTTAAATTTAAGTTGCACATAAACAAATAATTTTTTTTTGCTTTGTTTAGTTTTAGTAAGTCCCAAATGTTGCGTGGTATTTTCTCTGGCAGGCCTCAAAGAGAGACACCGATGCATGCATAAAGAACAGCAAAGCTGCTTTGAAATCCGAAATTTGGAATGGGGCAACCCCAACGTGACTTGGTCATCAAATGGTAACCTCAGTGCCATGGGAAGTACGGGAGAAACACTGGCTTGACTTCCAGCAGCAGCGGAAGGGAGCTGGGCCAGCAGCCAGAACATAGCTTGAAGATGCAATTTTTAGGGCCCTCTCCTGAGAGTGATGGGAACAGACGTGTGGGAACCAGAGACGTGGGCTTGGCAGGGAAGCCATTGCTGCAGAGAGCTCGGCCTCCTTTCTCATTCCCTGATGCTTACCTACATTTCTCTCTCATCCATGTGTACTAACGATGAACGTTTCTAAATAATCACATGCCAGGCTGAAACACTGGATCAATATCAATCAAGTTGTCTTCACCAACAATATTCACAAGAAGAGAACTGACTTACCCAACACAATTCTCTGAGATGTCTGAGGTTTAACGTGGTGGTTTGGAGTAGTGGTTAAGAATCTGTATCCTGTCTACAGTCATAGCCCATGTTAACCAAGCTGCTTAATATGTCTGGGACTCAGTTTCCTTGTTTGTAAAATTAGGATAAGAATCGTACTTTCAGGGTCATTGTAAGGGTTACATAAGTTAATGTGTGTCTCATGTAGAATCTGGACCATAGGCACTAAAAATGCAAGCTTACAGTAGATGTTATAGATAGATGATGAGAGGTTTTAATAAAAATTCATTAGTCTGCAAGACATTTGTGGGGTTGGGGGTGGATGAGTAGGCAGAGCTCAGAGGATATTCAGGATTCCAAGTCCATAGACTGCAACATCAGGAGTGAACCGTAAGGTAAGTCATGGACTTCCGGTGATAATGATGTAACATGTAGGTTCACCAGTTGTAACAAATGTACCAGGTCTCTAGTGACTGATGTTGGCAATGTGGGAGACAATGTACAGTGGGTATATGGGAAATATCTGTACCTTCCACTCAATTTTGCTGTGAGCCTAAACTCTTAAAAACAATATAAAGTCTTAACAATAAAAAAGTGGTAAAAATAGAAACTACGTTTAGTAAAACATTTCAGCCAAAAGAAAATGCTTTGTGGTGAAAAAAAGGACATTCATTAGTATATTTTTGTTGCAAGTTTTACACGCAAGATTTTTTTTTTTATCCTCACCCGAGGACATTTTTCCATTTTTTGTTCAGGTAGAGTGGGAGGGAGAGAGAGAGAAACATCGACGTGAAAGGGACACATCGAATGGTTGCCACCCGCACGACCAACCAGGGCCGGGGACAAACTGCCACCGAGGTACGCGCCCTTAGCGGGAACCGAACCCAGGTCTCTCGGGACGAAGGCCGACGCTCCAACCGCTGAGCCAAACCGGCCAGGGCACACACGCGAGATTTTTAAACTGCATAGTTAGGAAACAAGTATTTTTAAAAGGCATTCATTAACATGTCTTAGTATCCATTTCGCAGACATCTCTAGTCAAGACATCGGTAGACGTTTACAACTGGAAAGCTAGAGGTCTGCGCCCTTGCAGCTCCAGCTCCCTGGCCGTGTCTGCCGACTGCTAATGGAAGCAGTGTGGTCTGGGAGCCATGGCTTCCGCAGCATTTAGGATCTGGAACCCAGTTCTGCCACTCACTAGCTGGGATTTAAGCTGTCTGAGTGACATTTCCCTCACCTAAGTGACCAATAGTGCGTGCTTCACAGAGCAGTAGAGTTAAATTAGATAATCTAATATGCCTGATAGAGGCTGGGTGTGCAAAGCACTTTAATTCCTTCCCAGTGAAGAACTCATAAATTGGTGGGTGAGGTGGAGTTTGACGAGTCCCCACGTGGCGTTGTGCTGGGTTGACTCAATATATCTCCGCTTTTAAATGAAGTAAGTTCTGAAGCCCAGTCACAGCTGAACTTAGAGTGTCAAGGCCCCTGCCCTTTGGGGCTAGGTTGTACATGCTCTGTCTGTTGTTGAATTTGTGGGTAAGTGCTGGGTGGTTGGTGGAAGCTTCCACACAGCTGTGAATTAACTGACAGTTGGCTTTTTCTTTTGCAAACTCATAAGATCCCACAAGCCAGGGGTCTGTTGTTTATTCATGCAGTGTCCTTCTGAGTCATTCAGGTACAGGGTGTGTCTGTCTACTGAAACGCACAGCGGAGAAGTTCTGCCTTCGCATCTGCAGGGATGGGAAGCCAGTGTGACCTGCCCCTGGGTGGAACTGGCTTCGCAGCTGCAGGGGCTGACCACGGCCACTTCTCAGCCTCAGGCTCAGAAGTAGCATCTAAGCCCAAGGAAAGAGTGGGCGAGTTTCGAGCACTGAGATTTAGGGGCGCCTCCCAAGTAGAAGGGGAGAGAAGGGCAGAGAAGGGTGCGGGCCCCCAACTGAGCAGCAGCCCGGTGGGGCTGGGTCCGGCGGCTCTTCCGCTTTGGAACTTCCTGAGCTGCCCAAGCTTTAGAAAATTTCGCGGGTGGGGGCAGCCGTCCACCTCCTCCAAGGCCTCTCACCACTAGCCAGAATCTGGGGCACACTGCCTATCTTGGCGCCCAATTGAAGGAGGGGAACCCCCAAGCAGCACCTCGCCGGACGCTGGCCCGTTTCAGTGTGTGCCCAGGGAAAGCCACTTTCTGCCCCTCAGACCGCAAGTGTCCAGGCAGCCGCGGGAGGGCGGTGGGAGTGGAGGTGGGGGAAGCGGAGGACCGGGGCATCCTCCCTCTCGGCCCTTGGCTCCCGGTGCCTCTCGCAGCCCCTTCTCAGCCTGTGCCCCAGAGCGTCGCCGGCTCCGTTTCCACCGCCTGCAGCAGCGGCCCGGGGGGCCCAGGCACAATCTGGGGACCCCATCCCCCAAGGGCCGCGAGCGCAGGGGAACAGAGCGGTGCTCGGCCCGTTGCCGGGCGGCCCCCGTCCCCCAGGACTTTTGTGCAGCGAAGTTTCCGAAGGCCCTCCACCTCCGCTCCTCGGCTCGGCAGAGGGGTCGCCGCCGCCCAGCGGGGCACCGGGGGCGCGGGCGTGATTTATAATTCAGGTCCAGGGGGCAGAAGGCTCCGCCCCGTCTGTTGTTTTTTCCTGGGAGGGAGAAGGTTTCTTCTGTTTGCTTCTGCCCCAGATCTTTCCTGGACAGTGAGCCTCAGCAGCTGAGATCCGGGGGGCCCCCGGCCGGCGGCGGAGGGCGTGGGAGATGGAGGCATAAAGCTCTCCCCGCCTCTTCCTAAGGAAGCCAGCCCGCGTCAGCGGGCGCTCCGCGACTTCAGCTGGCTGGCCGCGGCGGGCGGGCTGGCCAATGGAGTGTGCGGTTACGGAGGGAGGGGACCCCGACTCCACAAGTTTATGCGCGATGCTGTCAGGCGCGGGCAGCAGCAAGATGACGGGCGCGCAGTGCGGACCCAGAGCTCCCCGAACGCGACTTCGTCCCGCCTGAGCGAGGTAGGGGCGCGGGCCCGGGCTGGGGGCACCGCCTGGCCGCAGGGCTCGGGCGTCCCAAACGCACTGTTAGACCGGAACGAAGCAGAACAAAAACTTTTCAAACATCCATCTCCGGGCGCTGAGAACATGCATCTCTGGGCAACTAAGGCGCCCAACCCGGTCGGGTTGCTCTTGGGCACTTGTAATTTGCGAAGTTTGGAAAAGGGTCAAGTTCCAATTGTAGAACCAACTGGGGGTGGGAGGTAGTGGAAGCTGCTGTTGGTCTGAGGGGAAGGAGTGAAGGCGCTTATTTTTGGAAATCCTATAGACAAAGAATATTGAGGGTGGGAAGTGGGGGAGTAAGGGCTTAAACTTGCTGGCGAGCAGAGTGCAATTAGATGGGACACGAGGAGCTCCGGGAGCCAGCAGCCTCCGCCCTGCGGATGGGTGGGAGCGCCCTTGCCTCAATTACTGCTTTACCTTGCAACAGCTAAACAACTTACAAGTAGACTTTTGCTACCAGGGCCACGTTGTGTTCCCTCCACACTTTCTAGATCTGCGAGGAGGAGGCAACGTGCCGGGGGAGGCAGTAAATGAAACAGTCCGCATCAGCTTAGCAATAAGCCAGGCTCCTTCCCTGTGAGTGTCGGAGCCGTTTTGCACTGGGCGCTGGGAATGTAGCGGCATATGCATTGTTATCAGGAGCACAACTTCCCTCTGCATGTTTGCTGTACCCGCTAAAACACTCGTTATGCAATCAAGGAGTACACGAAAATTCTGGGGTGTATTGCAATCTCGTGTGAATGGTTTTCACCAGGCACCTTTAGGTGTTCTTGCATTGGCTCACGAGAAAAAGAAGAAGACAGAAAAAGCAATTGCTTAATGGGGGTGCTCAGTTTTCCTGTTTATCGCTAGGCCAGGGCTGACTTGGCCGCACCTTCGGACCCTAAACACACCTACTCCCAGAACTATTAATAGAACCCCAAAATGACTTTCCCTGTCAAATGACTTTCGTGCCAAACTAATTTCTTGCATGACAATTAGGAGGTGGTTCTAGTCTCTTTCAGCTGGGTGGTGGCGGGGTGCTGAGGTGTGGGTCTCCACCCTTATTTTGGCTGTTGGGTCTCCTCCTAGGAGCCAGAGAGCTGGTGAGCCCCCGCTTAGCTGAAGAATGCTTCTGAGACACTGCCTGGAAAACTGGCAGGATGGGGTGCGGGGTGGGGGGCAGGGAGAGGGTAGGAGTGGGGTTCGGTGGGGCTGCTTCCCCACTTTTCCAGTTTCCATTTGAGTGGACTACACTATAGGGAGAGTTTTTGTCTTGTTGAGTGGGAGTTTTCAGTTGGGACACATTTTTTGTTTTATTTACCTTTCTTTCTTCCACTTCTTCCTTTAAAAACATTTCTTTTTTTTTTTTTTTTTTTGCAAAAGATGAGAATTTGATTTTTTTAAAAAAATCCCTCTCCCTTTACTCTCCCCAAGTTTCCCTAAAAGAAAGCAACAGAACTGGAGCAATGCCTTAGCTGTAATGAATTGTGCCAGTTTGCAGTGGCTTTTCCCTGATTCTCTTTGTAACTTGTTTAAGGCTGCGGTTTCGAGGCCCTCTCCAGCCAGGACACCAGCATACCCGGAAAGCCTGGATCTGTCCCGTTGAGAACTCTAGCGGCCAGCGAAGGCGCGCTCCGCCTCGCCCTCTAGCGTTCGCCGGAGAAGCGCCATCCCATCCTGGGTCCCTGGGGATACAGTGCACACCATGGGGTCCACCAGCATCCCGCTGGTCCAGGCCCTGGGCAGCAGCTCTGTCTCCGACTACCTCAACTATGACATGATCATCCTGCATTACAACTACACGGGAAAGCTGAATATTGGTGTGGACAAGGAGACAGGCATTAAAGTGACCTCGGTGGTGTTCATTCTCATCTGCTGCTTCATCATCCTAGAGAACATCTTTGTCTTGCTGACCATTTGGAAAACCAAGAAATTCCACCGGCCCATGTACTATTTTATTGGCAACCTGGCCCTCTCAGACCTGTTGGCAGGAGTGGCCTACATAATCAACCTGCTCTTCTCCGGGGCCAACACCTACAAGCTCACGCCGGCCCAGTGGTTTTTGCGGGAAGGCAGCATGTTCGTGGCCCTGTCAGCATCGGTGTTCAGCCTCCTGGCCATCGCCATCGAGCGCTACATCACCATGCTGAAGATGAAGCTGCACAACGAGAGCAACAGCTCGCGCTCCTTCCTGCTCATCAGCGCCTGCTGGATCATCTCCCTCATCCTGGGCGGCCTGCCCATCATGGGCTGGAACTGCCTGCGCGCGCTGCCCAGCTGCTCCACGGTGCTGCCGCTCTACCACAAGCACTATATCCTCTTCTGCACCACGGTCTTCACCGTGCTGCTGCTGTCCATCGTCATCCTCTACTGCAGGATCTACTCCTTGGTCCGGACTCGCAGCCGCCGGCTGACCTTCCGCAAGAACATGTCCAAGGCCAGCCGCAGCTCCGAGAAGTCGCTGGCACTGCTCAAGACGGTGATCATCGTCCTGAGCGTCTTCATCGCCTGCTGGGCGCCGCTCTTCATCCTGCTCCTGCTGGACGTGGGCTGCAAGGTGAAGACCTGCGACATCCTCTTCAAAGCGGAGTACTTCCTGGTGCTGGCGGTGCTCAACTCGGGCACCAACCCCATCATCTACACTTTGACCAACAAGGAGATGCGCCGGGCTTTCATCCGGATCATGTCCTGCTGTAAGTGCCCCAGCGGAGACACCCCCGGCAAGTTCAAGCGCCCCATCATCGCTGGTGTGGAATTCAGCCGCAGTAAGTCAGACAACTCCTCTCACCCCCAGAAGGACGATGGGGACAACCCCGAAACCATAATGTCCTCTGGGAACGTCAACTCTTCTTCCTAAAACTGGAAGCTGCCAGCCTGTGGGGAATGCTTTTGCGTGGTCACCCACCACCCAATATTTGGAAAGAAATCTCCGTGCCTGGCCGGCCGCCAGGGAGGAGCTGCTGGAGCCAGAGGGAGGGCGGGGCGAGGAAGAAGGGCCCCTGGTGCCGGGTCGGGCCTGTGGGTACAGTCAGTCCTGTGAACAATGCGCGGGAAGGGTGGAGAGCAGGTCCGTGGGGGCCTGCAGTCTGTTTCCTCCCCCCGGAGCTCTGATTTTGCACTGAGCCAAAGGTCCAGCATTGTCAAGCTCCTGAGGGTTCACTGGGCCCCTCCTCGAAGACCAAGGTCCCCTTGTGAAGTGTCTCTGTTCAAAGCTTTGAAGAGATGTTTTCTTTCACTTTAGTTTCCAACCATGTGCGTGTGTGCACTTCTGCTTCTCTAGGGATGCTCCAGACCGCACCCTCCCTTCCCCTTCACACCTCTCCTTGAAATCCTCCGAGTTCATATTCTAACTACCTGGGGTTCGTCCCAGCTGGGGGGTGGAACTGCCCGTGTCTCCATCTCTGCAGCTGGGCTGTGATCGGGAGGCAGAGAGGAGATAGATGGACGTGGTTTGGACATGTCAGGCAATTTCATTCGCTGAGGCCAAAGTTTCCAGTAAGCTGGATCCGTTTTTTGTTTGGAATTTGGTTGTAGTAACTCTGATTTTTTTTTTTTTTTTTTTACCATCTTTACAATGGAATGTGTTACAGTATCCTGCCATTGTGGCTGAAATCTGTATAGGGAAGCCCAGCTTATCTAAATGGTATCAGCCAGGAGCCTTAGTGTCCCAGGAGAAACAAAGGCCCTAACAGGGTGAAAACCCACTGGGGGGCGGGGGGCGGGGACTTTATAAACCCAGAGGAATTTCCTAACGAATTTTTCTAACAAATACATCTGTCTTTGGCACTTTTGTTGACGTTTATTACAGAGTATTGTGTGCATCATTTCAACCAATGAGATGGTTGTATTTTGTTGTGTTAAAAGTACTTTTCATGATTTTTGAATGTATTTGTTTCAGCATTTTATTGGATTTTTCTAACGTGTGTTAACACCATTGAATGTGTATTTCTTAAGAAAATGTCACCTTCTTGTACCCTTAAAGCATTACTTTAACTGATAGGGAATCCAGAAGTTTCCAGTACCGCTGTTCTTAACTAGTTCACTGAACACGAGTGTAAATGTTACAAAGAATAAAATGTATTGCTCTCTCTTTAGTATGGTTTTCAGTGCAATTAAAACAAGAAAGGTCTTTTTGTAAAAAAAAAAAAAAATAGTATTTAATAGGTTTCTGACTTCTGTGGATTATTTTGCACATAGCTTTATCAACTTTTAAACATTAATAAACTGATTTTTTTTAAAGATTGTTTTGTGAAGAGCATTTTAAAAATAATTGTTAAGATCTTCTATTTGACTCTGTGGCTCTTTAGAATCAAGGGTAAGGACAAGTGTGTGTTATTGTTTAAAGGACTTTTACCTTAACAAACTAGGGTATAAAAAAATGTGGTTTGTTTAGAAACCACTCTATCTTTTTCAGGAAGAGAAACTTCAATATGTTAACACCGAAGAGTAGTAAAGAATGAGATGAAAAACCACCAACCTCTAAATACCACATGGCAAGGAAATGTAATTGTTCGAGTTTTAAATTGCATGCACACCAAACTAAACTAAGTCCAGTAGTTCTGTCCTAAAACGTGAATTTTTAAAGAAATGACCCAGAACAGTGTGGTTGTAAACCTAATTTAAATTATAAAACTCAATGGTCAGTTCAAACCCATCAACAAAAGCTTGGCTTTCTTTAAACAATTTTTTTTCTTTATTGATTTTTTGAGAGAGAGGAAGGGAGAGGGAGAGAGATCGAAACATTGATGAGAGAGAACATCAATTGGCTGCCTCCTGCATGCCCCTACTGCGGATCTGGCCCACAACCTGGGCATGTGTCCTGCCCGGGAATCAAACCAGCGACCTCTTGGTGCATGAGTCGACACTCAACCACTGAGCCACACCAGCCGGGCCCAAAGCTTGGCTTTCTACCAATGTGCTGGGGCAGTGGGGCTGTGGATATGGGACATAATATTAAGTGACTTAATCTTTCAGGATTGGTTTCTGCCTCGGTTTCCCCAGTCTGCCCTCGGAACGATACGAGACTCTGTAGCCTCGTTGAAGGAGTGAGGCGACATAGCTTTCATCCGAAACTTTCAGTTCACAGTATCTGAAAGTGCTAGCATCCCTCGCCGTTAACTTTTCCAACTATAAAATGAGAACAAGGGTACTTTACAAGCAAAATGGAATTCTTGCCGTAGTTAGTGCTCCATGGGGATTTGTAAATGGGGATTTGTAAATGGAAGTGTTTGGTGTGTCTGGCTCTTCAGTGCTATTGTTACTTTCAGAATGTGTGCATTCAAGTGCCGCTGAGCATGCACAGGACACAGTTGGAACATGGAGATAAACCTCACCTATACGTAGATGTCATTTCTGGGTAAGGTCAACTGTGGGAAACAGAAGTGTGTTCACTAAGGAAGCCTTGGGTCGCAACCTCCCGTTTCCTGAAGGAAATGCCAAAAGTGCTCCGAAGACAAAAGACTGGCAACAGACTGGAAAGTCTGTCCATCTGTCTGCCGAGGCGGAAGGAATGAGTTCATGGTGCACTCACTTCCCAGAGCTCTTGTTACAGAATGGAGCACAACAGAAAAGCAAGTCCATTCTGTGTCTCTGTGGGAGATGCTGTGGCCAACTCCAGGACTTGTCTTTCCACAAACACCAGTGACCTAATGACGGGGAAAGGTGGGGAATGGGGAGCTCAGGGACAAGGGGGACCACCTCACCTGCTCACCTGTGAGCACCTGTCTGGTGATGAGATGTGCATTCTGCCTGGAAACCCCAGAAGGGGCCTTTCATGCCAAGAAAGCTGACAGTCCTGGGTTGCGGTTCTCCTGGGCACTTGTGTGGAAGGTCCCTAGTTCTGGTCAAGAAACAATGGCTGCAATGAAGGAATTCTTGGTTGTATCCCAACATGAATATCTGGGTTTAATTCAGTGTACCTGAAAATTGAGAATGGAAAAAACAAAACCCAAACAAACTAAACCTCAGTAACTATATATTTATACTAAAATAAACATCCACCAAGTTTTGATTAAACCATGGAGAGCTTTTCAAGAGGAGTACGTCAGACTATCTGAGCACTACTTGACATATTCCTGTGAAAACATACCATTGGCTCATAAATATTTAGCAGAGTTACAAAATGACATCAAGTAACACTTCATTCCCAACATTAAGTCCGATTACAACTTTACAGAGCATTCTAATCAAATCTTCTTGTTTTCTAGTCTCATAATAAGTAGAAAGGTTTCTTTAATAAGTTGATCCAGTATTATTAGAGATTCAAATTTTTATTGTAAATGGAATTTTCCATTCATGTTAATTAGATACTGGAGTCTATTTTAGTAATATCAGCACTTTGGTTATGATTTATAGCATCTATTCCCCCCCATTATAAAGAGTCTTATAAAGATTTTAACTTCAATCCCACTTCTAGGAATATATCCTAAAAAGCCTAAAACACCAATCAGAAAGAATATATGCACTCCTTTGTTCATAGCAGCACTATTTACAATAGCTAAGATCTGGAAACAGTCCAAGTGTCCATCAGTAGACAGGTGGTACATTTACACAATGGAATACTATGCAGCTGTAAAGAAGAAAGATTTCCTACCTTTGAAACAACATGGAGGGAGCTGGGACTGTTATGCTAAGTGAAATAAGCCAATCAGAGAAAGACAAATATCACATGATTTCACTAATTTGTGGAATATAATGAACAAAAAGAGCTGATGAACAAAATATACCCAGAGACATGGAAGTAGGGAACAGATGGACAAATCTCAGAGTAAGAGTTGGGGAAGGGAGGGAAGAGATAAACCAAAGAACTTATATGCATATATGCACAACCAATGGACAGACAACAATACTGTGAAGGTGGGGGGCGGGGATGGGAGCAAGGAGGAGGGTGTCAATAGGGTAAAAAGAAGAAACAAAAATAAATTAACTTAAAAAAAAGATTTTAGCTTTACTTTGTTTCCAATTGGGTTAATTTCTGCCCTGGACATGGCCCCTGTTAAGGATATGCCCAAGGCAATACTCTTGAAGTCTTTCTAACCTAGACTGCACTTTTGGGTGACTTTGACTCTCATGCCCCATCCAGTACTGCACCGGGACGCTCATGTTCCTGAGCAGCCACAGGTGCAGCTCGGCTTGGGAGCCAGTACTCTGACACAGTGACACTGCAACGTCAGAGAGATGATGGCTCTGCGGAGGAAATCCTACGAAGCAAGGACTTGATGTTTAAGGAAATCTAAATATTAGCAACCCCATTTTTAACTGAGATGCAAGGGATAATACTCGAGTGACACATGCAAATATTCCAACTATAAAATAGATTTGATCTTATAAATAGACACTGGCTGGAAAATTAATCTCTAACTAGGAACATTATTTCCCCACAGCATTTACAATAATGAGTTTCCATAATCTCTGTGCAATGTTCAGTTTTTCTTTTTTTAATCTTGTTTTCTCCACGCTGAGCTGGAATGATGTTTGCTGAGGACACCCGACTGATTAGATCAAACTAGATTGATCGCATTTGTCTCCCAACTAATTAGATCAAACTAGATGTGTCTATATTTTTTCTAAGTGAGTTTTAAGCATCTTGAGGAAGGAATCAGAAGTAACCAAAATAAATCTTTATTTATTTTATTTTTTTTATCCTCACTCGAGGACGTTTTTCGATTTTTTTTTGTTCAGATAGAGTGGGAAGGAGGGAGAGAGAGAGAGAGAGAGAAAGAGAGAGAGAGAAACATCGATGTGAAAGGGACACATCGAAACCACACGACCTAACTAGGGCCGGGGACAAACTGCAACCGAGGTACGTGCCCTTGGTGGGAACCGAACCCGGGTCTCTCCAGACTGCAGGCCGATGCTCTAACCGCTGAGCCAAACCAGCCAGGGCCAAAAGAAACCTTTATAGGATCTTTTATCCTTACCCTGTGGACACCCTAATTTCTTGATGATGAGAAATCATAATAAACTGCATCATTTTCCCTAACCTACCTTCCTGCTTTTCTGATGTGTGCTTCACGTGGTCTAAGGAAAGGGACTCAGAAGATACTCTGTGTACCCGATGGCCTTCACTGTCATACCTAGCTGGACGGGAGTCATCTTTCAGAATACCCGCGCAAGCAATGTCTTCTTGAATCGCTAAAAGCCCTTCGATTGTCTAAAATAAAAAAGATTTTTAACCACTGGTCAAAGGAGCTCGGAGAGAGAGGCAGAATACGACACTGGGCGAGGGATAGACCCGACTGAATCTAGTCTTACACAATCCTTGACCGGAGCCGGACCAAAAGCAAGTCTGGTTCATGGGGAAGATACCTCCCCTATTACTCTATCCTGTCTTACTCCCTAAGCTTTCTTCTAGGGTTCAGACTTTGAAGACATTCCTGTCTTTCCCATGCTCTCTCTGCATCTCTTTGAGGGTCAAAGGTTACAAATCAGGTTTGGTTCAGCGTATACTCGTCCGCCAAAGCCAAGTGTGCTACATTTAGTTTCCTTGAAGCCCCCTCCTGTGCCCACCAAGCAGCTTTTGTGTTAATAATGGGTAAACGCCTTGTGGTAAGTGCATGCCATGGAATACTATTCGGCAGTTAAAAAGGAACTGCTATTGGTACTTGCCACCACTTGTATAAATCTCAGAACCCTTCAGTGGAGCAGAAGAAGCCAGCCAGCCACCAGAGAGACCACACTGCACGACTCCATTTATGTGGAATCCACGAACAGACAAAACCAGTCTATAGAGCTAGAAATCAGAAGAGAAGGGTAAACTGGAAAGGAACATGAGGGAACTTTCTAGATTGTTAGCAATGTTCTATATCTTACTTTATTAGGGTGTTGTTTACTCAGGTGTATACATTGGCCTAAACTTATGCAGACATATTCCTAAGACCTGTGAAAAACCAATGCCGATATGGTAGACCTGCCCTTTTGAGCATGGGGACTGCTTGTGACTTTCTCTGTGATGTCATGGAACTAGGCTGCAGGCTGCAGTAGAAGGGACAAGAGCTCCGAGTGTCCCACGGAGGGAGGGCCCAGGTGCTGTCACCATTCTCTCAGTCCCAGCACTGAGCACCACTGTGCCAGCCAGCTGCGACCCCATGACCCTCTCTTTGCTTCTAAAAGACGAGAATTTGACTTAGTTTTGGTATTTCCACATCTGAAGAATTTCTGTGTCTTGGAGGTGTCTAGAGTTGTCATGAAACTGTCACAGTACAAGCTCAC